TTCATCACAGCTTGAAAGAGCGCCACAAAATTAGTAATATTCCGAAGTTTCGTTGCGAAATGTTGTAAAATGCGGATAATATAGCCCTGCGAAGTTTGCCGTTTTTCAGTCATTTTGTATTACGCACGGGAAATTGATATCGCTTTCAGAAAAAAGGTATCAATTTCCCGTGCGTAATAAATACAAAATGAAAAACGGCAAACTTCGCTGAGCTATATTATCCGCATTTTACAACATTTCGCAACGAAACTTCGGAATATTACTAATTTTGTGATGCTCTTTCAAGCTGTGATGAAATTTTTGTCCAGACTTGTCTAGATCAAAATTTTGTTCATTACATAATAGGTCATTGGGTACTGAGTTTGTAGTAGCTCAAGTATACGAGGCAATAATCATTGGTATACCAATCAGGTACGTCTAAAAATCTTGAATTATCACAGCCTGTTGCAATAAAGATATTTTGTTGATGGTGGAACATGGGCGTGGTCCTTTGGAATAGGGGCTTCCAAGTTGCCCTGATATTAATGTCATTCATACTTATTTGCAAAGCCAAACTGAACTCAAAGTCATCGGACATCACACAATACATATGTCTGACTAAAACTCAAAGTCATCAAACATTTTGTCAGAAAGTTCTCGGACTGATATTTTAAGGCCTGCTGTCTCGTCCTGCTTAGCCAGAATCATATAAACACACCCATAGTCTTTTAACTGCTGATTAGAACTATATATAAAATGTGGTCTTTCATGTTTCGAGAGGTTCATAAAAATTAATGAAAACTCATCATACTTGATAACTTTCGTATATTCCTTGGCAGCCGCTACATGAAGTGCTGTTGCACCTAGATACATAAAAACAAATATATTAATTAATCAATAATGTAATTAACCCATTGAGCCCAAACACACCAAACATTATTTCACTCTGTCTAACGGCAGACGATTTTACATGAAACTGGGACAAAAATAACTCGGACGGGTATCACGTCATTCCGTCTGCTGGACTGCGCTGACCGACTTCAGACCGATTTTGTTGCAGACTGATTACTTATTACAAATGGCCTGGCAACCTCGCATTATAGAATCAAAATGAAAGACTACTCACTCATTTATCTTTGTGTCAAGTACTCTTTTGATGCAACGTTTCAAAAGAAACTTTGTGGCAATGTTATGAACGAAATTCCACCTAAGTCTGGCCTTGTTCAAAGTAACTATACAAAACCTCCAATGTTTGACACTCGCCTGTTTTCGGGTCTTTGACTTCATCTATGTGGCCCTTGTTGAGCCACGACTGCGCGTCTTCTTCCATGATCCTCTCTTCCTCAGCCCTCGCTGCCTCAACATCAACATCTATAATTCAAACATGTATTACGTACTGTGCACGACCAGAGGTACAACATGGACCACACAACAATTTTACCAGGACTTAAAATACTGGTCGGTCACAGACATTGTCCAACCCATTCGTGAAATGGTCTGACGTAGAGAGGAATCCACCGGTTTCTTGGGTTTAACTACAGCATTATGCAGTGAATCTGACGGGTGTCAATCTCAAATGTATTGATGCTTATATGCTCTACTGGAGTGAGAAAATGATACGAAATTCCATGTATTTGACACCAAACACAAGGCTAATACATAAAACGAACAATCGACTCACTCTGATAACTGGGTTTTGTCTTAGAGTTTACCCCCTGTCACTTTTGTGACGTCATATGAAATGCAAGAATTGTTTGTCCGACCCGAGTGAATTGGTGTCCGACCTAACTGTATCTTTGTCCAACGTCAATCAAAATTTACCCTAGTCCAGGACTAGAGGCTCGTATGTTAAATGAAGAATCATAGTAATATATAAAAAGTGAACTGGAAATGTTGTTTTAGTGTACGGCAAGTGGAATGGTGAAGTGGAAAATGGGCTTAAGTTGTCGAAATGCTCGCTGCTGTTAATTTGAAGTTTTGAACCCTGAATGGTAACCTATATTTACTCACTAGCTTTACGTAGTTGGTCTTGAAGATATTCGTCCATCTCGTCTTCTTCGGCAAGATCCAACGGAAGTTCCCCTTCATTGTTGACAGCTGCAATGTCCGCCCCATGCTCAACTAGGAATCTGTTTCAGGAAAAAAGAATAATCAGCGCCAATCATTCTGAACTAGGTTCATGTCCACCGGCCAGGATCATTAAAGTGGGAACCACTGGGACCAACAGTCGCAGGCACATTTTTGAGAAACAACATTCTTGCAGGCACATTTTGTAAAACTTTTGAAACCAGAAGTTATAAAATAAATTTTGTAATTCTTATTTTATTATGTATTTTACTATCTGTTACTATTAGTCTATTAAAATCTTTGTTGATATAGGGACACTGACAAGTTAAAATTTCTTGAGAAAGTCCACGGTGCACATGTATGATTGTGAGTCTGAGGCTCTGAGCTTAAAATTCCTGATTTCTTGGGCCAAAAATATATAAAGCCATATAACTCATAAGCCAGCCTACGGCCCTACCTACTAATCGGCATCTATACTAATTCATGGCTGATGGCTCTTTACGTTGTGATTTCACATGTTACATGAAGACATTGTGCAGGCACATTTTCAAATAGTTTGTGTCGGTGCAGGCACGCAAAAAAGTTAACGACCCCCTGTCCACCTGGGCTCAAGATTTGCAGTATCCTGATATCCACTAGATAACAGATTTCAATTTTGGATATTGAAAATCATCAATAGGCTTCGTATGCCAACGGGATGCTATAAAAATTTTGAGTTTCCAATCCAAAATCCGAAGTCTGTACATTATGGCAAAATGTTCGACAACAAAGCTTTTTTTGGCATTTTGGTTCTTATTCTGTGTATTTGTGGTCACTGATCGAGTTTTGGCCCAGCATCTATGGGTTAGTCCTATGGTTTTTTTAATACAAGTTGGTCATGATAAACTAGGGACACTACAAACAGCCAAGACATTACAGTAGATAATTTCCTTGCTAATCAGAGTATCTACTATGCAAATCTGGGATACTAAATTTCAAAGAGGGACAGCAGATATTAAGGTGCTAGTATCCATGTGGATACTAACCTGCGATCAGGCCTATAAATAAATAAATAGGCCTGATACAAACCTTAACAAAAGTCCATGCCTTACAACCGTATTTTGGTTGTAAATCTGATTGGTCCACGAGACAAAATATTTTTTATCTGTCATTTGATTGGTTGGTGCTAATGAGATTATACTATTGTTGAAGATATATTTTATAGTGATCACAACTATAATAATTAGATTCTTGTTGTCATGGTGTGAAAATTAAATTTCTCCTGCGACATTTTGATTGGATATTAAATATAAACATTGCTGTGGGCGGAAAGCAATCGGATTAAGGTTTGTGTCAGGCTATATTTATAAAATAGAACCTGATCTCAGGTTATGTGGATACTAGTAAGAAATTCAAATCTTGAGCCGGCCCTGTCATCGAGCTGACATGAGAGAGCTTTAAACCGGCCGCACACACAATTAAGAGCATTTGTCGCAAACATAATGTAAAGTGCTAAGCTAATATTTGACTTTGCTCTGTCAAAATAGGCAAATATATCATGTACCACGTGAAAAACTTATGTGCTTTTATGAGCTTCTACATATTAACGGCTGAGCTTAAAACTCACAACGTCCACACACGGTGTGATCCTTGCTTCGTGTGGGCAAAATAATCGAACACAATAGAATTTTTCCTCACAGTCTTGTGTGTCAAATTCTGCAGCGAAAACCATGTACACATGAGAGCTTTTAACTAAGCTGTTGCCACGCGTGGCGATTAGCTCAGCCGAAAGCTCTTGTGTGCGGCAGGCTTTATTCTCACAACACAAACTTGAGACGCATTATGCAAAACAAAAAATTCTACTGTTATTAACGTTCTATTCTAAGTGTCTAAAGCAGACACATTTACTATGGGAACATTGCATCCCAATTATCTAGATATCAAGGTCTTTAGCCCATTGAGTTGCATTGCATATCAATGCGCCCTACTTTATTTTTTACTATGTCTACTGCCAGACGATTACACTCACCAAGGGGAGAGCGCTGGCGGTGAACGGGTTAATATTACCCAACCAATATGCCATAGACAAGATGGCTTTTTCTCCTTTTAGTAAAACTGGGTCAAAAAGGAATTGCGTCATCCCTTATTCATCCAGCGTTACAACAGGAAAAACAATGTTTGAGTTTAGTGATACCCGGTTACTATAGAAGCAGAAGTTCATTCTAGCTATGTGCTAATGCGAACACTAATGAATTTTAATTTTAATATTTAATATGTCAAAGCTAATCAAAACCGCAAACAACAGCGGACAAAATCCAGAATGACAATACCTGGTTACTAGGAGCAGCTGTTCATTCTTCAACTATGCGCTAATGTGAAAGCTGGTGGATTTAGTTTAAATTATGCAATTAAAGTTAATCAAAATTGCAATAGAAGCAGAAAAAGCACAAACATGCGAAAATCTGTCGCTTTGTAAATTAAATCTCCCAATCTTGTTTTTTTTTTACACAAATGCAAGAATAAGTAAGGTACTGCACATATGGAAACGCCTTAAAGTATCGGTCGGACACACACATTGTCCAACCCATTTGTGAATTGTCTGACGTAGAGAGGAAACCTCCGACCTAAGTGAAACTGAGGTTTATTGTTTGTCCGACCCGAGTGTATCGGTGTCCGACCTAACTGTAACTTTGTCCAACGTCAATCAAAATGTACGCTAGTCCAGGACTAGAGCCTCGTATGTTGAATGGAGAATCGGAGTAGTGTATAAAAAGCAAACCAGAAATGTTGTTTTAATGTAATGAGTGCGGGACGGCAAGCAAAATGGTGAAGTCGACGTCATACTGCTGTCTTATTGGGAAGCAAGTTTTTGGCTTGGAAATAAGTGTAAATGACACAAATTACTTAATACATTTACAACATTTTACCGTTCAGAAAATACATTGTTCTGATATGAATTTGTGTCATTCTGACTTATTTCGGAGCCAAACTGAACTGAAGGTCATCGGACATCACCATGCAAATGTCCGACCCAAGGTCATGAGACATTTTGTTAGATGGCCGTGTAAAAGAATTTTAAAGCCTATGTTTGCTTAATCATACCTGGTTACTAGGAGCAGAAGTTCATGCTTGAGTTATGCACTAATGCAATGACTAACAAATTGTAATTTTTAATTTTGAAATTTAAAGCTAATTAAAATTACAAATACAGCATAGAAAAAGGCAGACATTCTGGAATCAGTTGGTTTGCGATGCATTTTAAACCATGGTTTATGCTGCCAAAGTTTCTGTGATGACAGTGGTAACTTTGCATGGGTATATTGAAAGTTTTGAAGGATTTCTAAGCCCGAAACATTTCTTACAAATCATTCAAAACTTGAAATTTACCTATGCAAAGTCCCCATTGTAATCACAAAAGCTGCGATGGTGACTTAATCCCTGAAAATACATTGATCAAAAAGTACTATATTAAAAAATAATTGGCATTTTGCGGACCTGACAGCTAAGCCCTTCGCTGGACTTTTTTGGGAAAGGCTATAATTACCAAAATGTAATATGTACAAAACGACTAGCCGAGATTATTACATGTAAACAATATCGGAAACCGGAAAAAAAACACCACCAAACAGAAATAAACTTTCCCAGGCATTTACAAACTAAATCCATAGAAAACTGGCCTGTAAAACGTGTTTTGTAATACGATCCACATAGAGAATGCACTTCAATTTAATAATACCGATTCCATATTATCATGAATGTTACAATTTCAGGTTGTACATTTCAAAATCGAAACTACTAAACAACTCTGGACATATGTTTTGGAGGTGATTTTTGCAAGAATTTCGTTGCTTTTTACCGGATTACGCGGGGGAACTTGTAGATGTACCTATAGAAGAGCGGCCGGGGTTGTATATCGCTTGATTTTGGTTAGAATACAAGAAAAACTCACTCGGTGACGTCCAAATTCCCTGAGCTGGCCGCTGCGTGCAAAGCACTCCAGCCTTCATTGTCGCGAACCTCTAGATCAGCTTTGTGTTGTACTAGAAGTTCCACTAGCTCATCATTCTCGTCGATGCACGCCTAAAACGGGCAAAAGTCGTGTTAAAAATACAAAAAATAATCCCGTGTACGTTGCTTTGGAAATTCAAAAATTCGCATAGTGTTAATGTATATAATTAAAACTCGGCTCCGATGTAAAAATGTACATTTGGGTCGAGGAAAATTCGTACCCTAATCTCGAATTTTTACTATAAAATGCCGGTTTGGCGTATTTAAGTTACTACTTATACAAATGCAGCTATTCGGGGGTTTTATAAAGCGAACTTGTGGCTAGGAACAGAGACAGGAGTGAGTTTTAGGCGTGAACAAGTCGGTGTAATAAAAATATTTTTGTAAACTTGTCGCAACGTCGCTGTCATATGGTATAGAATTCGCTCATATATTGCCCGCAAAATCGCCCCAAATTATCCATGTCACACGAAGGGCTATTCTCCACATAAATATCCATCATCCCAGCGAAGAATCGGCGTTGTAAATCCACCACAAAACCGTTTTCCAACAAGCAGTCTTTAACTATAATACAAATGTATTCTGTCGCCCATAGCAATTTATCATCGCAAACTCGTATTGTCTGTGAGCATTTCTCGCGAACATACAGCCATTGTACTATCAGATATAGCAAAAATACACTGCCTGCTATATTTTCGAGTGCTCCCACCTGATGTAACGCCGTAACTCCGTCGATATTTTGATAGTTTACGTCCGAGCCCTTTTGCAAGAGTTTTCGGACTTCGTCCAAGTCGCCCGCAGAAACGGCGGATAAAAAGACCGTACCATCGTCGAATTTCAATTTATTTCGTTTCGTGGGCTTGACTATAGGCTCCCGGGCTGTCTCGCTTTGCTTCCAACGTTGTAGTTGCTCTTGGCGTTTAAACAGAGCATTACTCGCTCTAGACGGTTCATTTCCACCAGAATCCGCCATTTTCCCATAATGACGTGCCGAGCCGATCTGAGCTGCCCTCGTTCACGTGACCGCTACACGACACGCGATTGGTCAACGCCAGCAGCCTGGTGAGCAAGACATGTCAACAGTAATGTTATGGCAACGCTGACGTGAGCGCTTCCTATACTACAGTATATTTATATACAGTGAACTGTATATACTATATACCCCGGTATTTTGTTGTTTTTTAGCTTAAAAATTTATGTTACCTACATTTGCCAAACGACTTTTGCACGAGGCTTTGACAAAAGTTGACATTGTTCCATGGCAACGCTGACGTCAGCACGTCCAATCTACCCCGGTATTTTGTTGTTTTTCTGCTCCGAAATTTTGTTACCTACTTAAACTTTTAACCTCAAAAATGTAACATTGTCAAAAGCTACTTCGCTACATTGTCAAAAGCTACTTCGCCTCAAAAATGTAACATTGTCAAAAGCTACTTCAAGATTGGTTTATAAAGCCCCGTTTACACTACGCTCAATTTTTGGTACGGCACGGATAAAATTGGTACCCGTACCACTTTTTTGGTTCTTGGACTACCTATTTAGCTAAGCCCCGTTTACACTACGCTCAATTTTTGGTACCATACCACTTTTTGGTTCTCGTCCAAGAACCAAAAAAGTGGTATGTGTACCAATTTTATCCGTGCCGTACCAAAAATTGAGCGTATTGTAAACAGGGCTTTAGAAACAAACTCGGAGTAGGGCTAGGTTCGCCAGTTAGGGGTAAGGATCAGGGTCAGGTGATAGAGTTGGTGTTTGGAATAGGGTTAGTGTTAGTAAAACCGTTGCATTGTTACGTTTTGTCAGCTCTGAGGCCAGCGAAATAACCTCTTCCCTTTAACAAAACTTGCAACGCTGGCGTGAGCACCTAAAAACAACATATAATACTGGCAGGGTATTAGCCAAACGTATTACATGTAACAAGCTGTCGTTAGTAACGATGCAACTATCTGAAAAATATAAGGAGAATTTCGACGTTTCGTCCGAAAGACCCTTGCTTTGTCTGGAGTCCGAGACGAAGGGTAGCCTAACCCTAGACTAGTCAAGGCTCGGTCAGGCTCCAGACGAAGCTAGGGCCTTCGCTCGAAACGTCGATATTCTCCTTATATTTTTCAGGTAGTTTGTGTATAATTATAAATTGGAGTTGCTCACGTCAACGTACGTTGCAACTTTTGTTATTAAAAACATTATGAACTTCACACGAAGCTTTAACGAAAGTTGGCATTGCTCCTTGACAACGCTGACGTGAGCACCTCCAGTCCACGTACGCGGTACGGCAATATACACCGGTATTTGCATGTTTTTTAGCGCAAATTTTATGTTACCTACTTAACTTTTAACCCCTGAAATATGACGTTACGAAAGCACTTTTACACGAGGCTTTGCGAAAAGTTGACAATGTTACTTGGCAACGCTGACGTGCACCTCCACTATTGTAACTATAGCCATAGGCCGTGGCGTAGTTGTTTTTTTTCCAAGACTTAACTTTTAACCTTCTAGGCTCTAACATGAGCCTCTCCGTATTCTTGACAACGTAAACTTTTTATGAACCCTATCCAAGTGTCATCTATAGATATCTATTATTTCTGTAGTCTATAAAATAGGCCGTTACTCGGCTAGGAATTTTGCATCGGTAAATTCCAAGTTTTGAGGGATTGAGGGAATTGTTTAGTGTTTAATATTAACACAGTTTGCCGCGCAAACATATCTTACAAATCCTTCAAAACGTACGTGCAAAATTCCTACTGTGATCACAGAAACTTTGATAGTGTAAAACATGGCATAACATGGCATAATAGACTTAACAAGCCTTCTTTTTGAGAAAGAGAAATAATTGAGCCCGGCTCTCTAACATAATAGCCCCCCTATCCGGGCATATTTATAAATATTTAAAAATCATTAATAATTCAGGAGGAAAACACAAAGAAAAATCATAAGCGTGTCGTATCTTTATATGTGATAAAAAATCATGTTAATTTACATAATTAATAAACTTTAGCTTTGATTTTCTCGGTTTAGACAAAGTTTATTTGAAAAATTACTTCGCTAATGTACTCATCAGAAGATGGGTCGTTTTTTAAGCCATTTATTTAAAGCACTTGTACTCGTGTTTTATCAGAAATTTATATCTGATAAAACACTCCTACGCGTGCTTTAAATAGTACTTAATCGGGTGTAATATTTTGTTCCTTCGCCCCGGGGATAACGCCGTTGGCTCGCGAAATATGCAAGCGCCTGGCGCGAGTGTGTTTTGAATGAGTGTTGGCGCGAGTGTGTTTTGAATGAGTGTTTTTGAACCGCTTCGAATAATGACTACAAAAGCCTGATCTCTTTCGGCATTCAAAGAACACAATTGAGTTAGCAGCCTAAATGGTTGCACTTTATGGTTCAACCTGCAAGGTTTTGCATTATTTATACAGTCAGTACAGACAGTAGCCTATATGCTATTGCTCGCTGGAATATATACTCGACATCTTAATTTGCTAAACACATTTTACATGGCTACATTTATGTTTTTCTATCATAGTAAATTATTGCCTTTGTCCTTTCAAAATCTATTCGTAACAAACAGCCGCCAAAGTGCATCATTATAACACCACGTCATAGATCTCAAACTCAGTAAATAGACCATTTGCATTATAGACTAAATTTTGATCTAGACAAAATTTTCATCACAGCTTGAAAGAGCATCACAAAATTAGTAATATTCCAAAGACCAAAGTTTCGTTGCGAAATGTTGTAAAATGCGGATAATATAGCCGTGCAAAATTTGCAATTTTCAGTCATTTTGTATTACAAACGGGAAATTGATGCCCCAACACCCGATTGGGCTGTCAATTTCCCGTGCGTAATACAAAATGACTGAAAAACGGCAAACTTCGCATGGCTATATTATCCGCATTTTACAACATTTCACCGAATGAAACTTTGGAATATTACTAATTTTGTGATGCTCTTTCAAGCGGTGATGAATTGTTTGTCTAGATCAAAATTTAGTCTATAATGCAAATGGTCCATTTGCCAACCATATAGTTTTATTTCGGCTCACATGATAATACTGGATACTTGATGAAGTACATTGATCCAGTCCTAAAGGACTGTATCAAAATTAATTCAGTCCTTGGACTGGATCAAAATTAATTAAGTAGTGATTTATTCGTATGAGATGTAATATTTCAAATCCTCCAATTCGGACTGGATTAGATTTCAAGTCGTCGCATTTTGATCCAGCCTTCGGCTTCGCCTCAGACGTGATCAAATTGCGCAAACTTGAAACCTAGCCCAGTCCGAATTTGGAGGATTTGAAATATTACATCTCATTTTCGGTCGAACAAACGTCCGAAACAATTTACAATATTGTAGCGAGTCCTAGGTCCAAAAATTTGGAATTCCCTTCTTAGTATAGTAGTCAGGTTGTCCACCCTCTGGTGATCATGAACGTGAAATTCAAGGACTTTTCCAACAATATAAGGCCCATTTTCAGTAAATTCAAGGACCTAGAACTGGAACAATGTTTGAAAATGCCGCACGGATTTGCCGTAAATAATTCACTTTATTCAGTAATTTTAATCAAAATCACTAATGTTGGCATAGCTGGAGGTTAATTAAGGAAATTAATTCCAGGACTTTCAAGGACTTCTACTGATTTTCAAGGACTTTAGGTGAAATTCAAGGATTTTTCCAGCAATTTAAGGCCCATTTTCAGTAAATTCAAGGACCTAGAACTGGAACAATGTTTGAAATTTATTCAGTAATTTTAATCAAAATCACTAATGTTGACACAGCTGGAGGTTATAAGGAAATTAATTCCAGGACTTTCAAGGACTTCTACAGATTTTCAAGGACTTTCCAGGGCCTGGAATTTTGTTTTTCCAATTCAAGGACTATCCAGGATTTTCAAGGCCCGTGGACACCCCGAGTAATGTAAAAAAGAGCTAAATTATTTGATTTTATAAAACTCATTGATATTTCATGAGGAAAATACAAAAGAAATGAATGTTTTATTAAACGTCTCTCAAATTCTCTCTCTCAAATGTTTGTATAATATCGGATAAAGATTTGTCCTGATTTACATAAACTTCAGCTTTGATTTTCTCGCCTTAGACAATGTTTATTTTTAAAATTACTTCGCCAATGAACTCATAAGATGGGTCGTTTTATAAGCATGATAAAACATTCGCATGCGATCTTTATCTGATATACAAACTCTCGCCTTCGGCTCGAATTTGTATATCAGATAAAGCCGGTTCGGCTCATGTTTTATCTAGTACATACAGCTCAGCTACTTTGCCGTTTGGCTACGTTTAAACTGATTAGCGGATAGCTTCAGTCCTAGCGGCGCTAAAAAGCACCTATCTGATACGGAATGTACAACTTTCAGAAGCTGAGCGAAACAACATCTCTCCGTTGTAATAATTCCTCTGAAAATAGCGTTCCTAAATGGCATGGATAGGTGTTTTTTCACGTCCCTACGGAAAGCTATCTGGTAACCTCAATCGGTCTCACGAAAACAAAATTATGAGGGGATCTCTTTATAACCTTTTAGTTTCTTGAGATCGCTTCGCCGTCACCTGAATTTAATAGTGGAGTTTGAATCTCGTGTTCACAGTTTGTATATCTTTGTAAATAGTTATTCTCTAATTGCGTATTTGGTGACAAACTTTTTAATACTAAAAACAACCAGTTGATAAGTGTGGTTTAAGTTAAGTGTGGTTAAGTGCAGGCATTTCTCACGGTCGATTTTTCCGCCATTTTTGGGGTACTGCCTCTTCCACGTTTGAGAGTCTCCGCACCACGAAATACAACTTTTTAGTATTGTAGTTGTTTGTATAATGGTAAATTTACAGTTACAACTTTTAAAAGTCGCTTTTCACGTTGTTTGAATTGTCTAGAATCTTTCACGAGAGCAGACAGTACCACGGCAAAAATTGCGGATTTTGGCCTTCATGAGAAAGGCTAATTGTTATAGACTAAATT